CTCTCTTGTCCTCCCCCCCTCTCCCTCCCTGTTTCTCCCCACTCTCCCCCTGTTGCTCTTGTTTCCTCCCTCCCCATCTCTAACCTCTCCTCCCCTCCCCCTGGACCCACATGGACACCAAGGCTGGTGGTGGACACAGGTCTCTCCCTCTCTTTACCCTTATAATAAATTGCTTATACCAAACAGTTTGACCCATGAGAAGTCTCTCACTGCGAGCGAGTGTTTTGAACCAATAGGACTACATTCAGTTAATAGCATTATCTATTCACTGGCACCTCAGAGAGCAAAATTTACTTCAGGAAATATCACCTGCAGACCAGATGACTGGTAGAATGGTTTGCCTAATACTCCTGTGGTGCTGAGAAATCTTGCTTTTGTCTTTCCTTGGGGAAAGGGTAAATGAAAAAGTATCACAATAAATGTGGTGGGATGACTCTTGTGAACTGGAGTGCTGCAGTGAGTGGCTACAAGCTCTTCAGAAGGGACAGGTGAGGAAGGAGAGGCTGTGGGTGGCTCTGTACACTGGGGAGGGTTCTGGCTGTGCAGAGCCCAGGGGCAGTGGGGATAAGGCTGAGTGCCTGTGGGTGACAGTCAGAGGGATGGCAAACCAGGCAGAGATCCTGCTGGGAGTCTGTCACAGACCACCCAGCCAGGATGAAGTGAAATCTTCTATCAGTGGATGTTTCATGATGACTACCCCTTGTTCTTGTGGGAGACTTTAACTTGCCAAAAGCCTGCTGGAAACTCAACACAGTGAGAGGAGACAGTATGGATCCTGGAGAGTGTGGAAGGTAACTTCCAGACACAGCTGGTAGGGGAGCCTACCAGGGCATGCCCTGCCACACCTGCTGCTCCCAGACAGAGGAGGGCTGCGGTGGTCAGAGGCCATTTTGGGTGCAGCAGTCATGGAATGATACATCTTTGATTCTTAGTGAAGTATGGAAAGGGATCAACAAAACGTCTGCCTGGGACTTCTGTAGCACAGACTTTAGCCTGTTCAAGACACTCATTCTGAGTCCCTTGAAATCTCTATCAATTACCTGAATAAGGGGATTGAGAGGACCCTAGGAAATTCATAGATTACACTAACCTGGGTGGAAGTGTTGAACTACGGATGGCTGGAAGACTTTGCAGAGGGATCTGGGCAGCCTGGATTGAGGTCTGAGGCCAGTGGCAGGAGGGTCAACGAAGTGAAGTGACAGGTCCGGCACTTGGACCCCAATCCTATGTAGTGTTACAGTCTTGGGGAAGCTGCCTGGTGGAAAAGGACCTGGGGGGGTCGTTTGACAACTATCTGAACACAAGCTGGCCAATGGAATCCTGGATTGCCCTGGAAATTGTATGCCCAGGAGGACTAGAGCAGTGACTGTCCCTGTGTATTCAATACTGGTGAGGCCACACCACAAGTACTGTGTTCAATTCTTGGTCCTCACAGCAGGAAAGACACTGAGGTGATGGAGCGTGCCCAAAGGAAAACAGCTGGAGAGAAGAGTCTAGAGAGTACATTCTGTGAGGAGCAACTAAGGGAACTGGGGCTATTTAGGCTGAAGAAAAGGAGGTTTAGGGGAGACCTAATTGCTCTTTGCAACTACTTAAAATAATGTTGTAACGAGGTGGGGGTTGGCCTCTTCTCCCAGTCAACTAGAGACAAGGTAAGAGGAAATGGGCTCAAGTTCCACCAGGGAAGATTCAGGCTGAACATCAGGAGAATTTCTTCACTGAAGGATTTTCAGATATTGGAATGGACTGCCCAGGGAAATGATGGAATCCCCACACCTGGAAGTGATCAAAACAATCCCATGCGAATGGATTGTGGCAGAGTGTCTGAAAAGCTGCTTTGCAGAAAAAGAAGGTGGGAGTGCTTGTCAACAACCAGATCAACTCATCTGAACATGAGCCAGCAGTGGCCAAGAAGGTCAACCGCATCCTGGCTTATGGTCAGCAGGACAAGGGGCAGTGATCATCCCTCTGTAATTGGCACTTGTGAGGCTGCACCTTGAAGATTTTCATTCCTCACTGCAAGAGGACATTGAGGTGTTGTAGCATGTCCAAAGGGCACTGGACCTCGAGAAGAATCTGGAGCACAAATGTTATGGGCATCACCTTAGGGAGCTGAGGTTGATTAGGCTGGAGAAAAGGAGTATCAGGGAAGATCTTATTGCTCTCTACACCTACTTGAAATGAGGTTACAGATGGATGGGATTCTGTCTCTTCTCCTAGGTAACAAGTAACAGGCAAGAGGAATTGACATCAAGTTGCACCAGGAGTGGTCTAGACTTGATATTTGGAAAAAAAAGTTTCACTCAAAGGGTCCTCAGGCATTGGAAGAATGTGACCAAGAAAGTAGCTGCGTCACCATTCTTGCACGTATTTAAAATATGTGTAGATGTGGCAATAAGGGACATGGTTTAGTGATGAACACATGTCCTAGTAGAAGGGTGGTGGAAGATCTTAGCACCATGTGGGCATGGCCAGGCTGCTATTTTACACCACACCCATCATCACGGGGCATGTGGATTCAGAAGGAAAAGCTGAGCATCCCACCAGGAGAGCACCATTGCACCTCTCTCTCTGGCAGGAAGGTGTTGACATCAGACCTGTGGACGCTGTCCTCTGTGCCACCATCCACTTCCCCCCCACATTCCTCTGAGATCCTTCTGCAGGATGTGATGCTGAGGAGAGGCAGCAGTGTGGCTGTGCGACATGATTCTGAACAGAAAGCAGCAAAATGCATCTGAGCTCAGCAAGGCTGGGGTGTCAGGAAGCAGACACTTGATCGATCTTGTTTTCCCCCTGGCACGGCATAGAGATCAAAGGTGTTGGTGCCAAGACGAGCCAAAAGGGAGCCCAGGCAAGTCAAAAGGGAGAATAGTGGAGCAGTGCAAAAAGCAGAAGCAACCCATGGGAACCAACCTCCAACATGGGAGAGCAGTAGTAGGCACCTGCATGGAACTGAGCTCAGCAAAGGGGCAATGTCACCTTACTCAGACAATCTGCCTACTGGGGACTTGTTTGTCATTGGTTTTCCATTGTGCTCAGTCTGGGGGTGGGAAACGCTAGCCACAGCAGCTCTTGGGTCATCTTGGTTTCGCTCCTGACAATCATGTCTCTGGCACATGGGAACAGTCACCATAGTGCTTTCATTCCTGATGGCCATGTGGGGAGTATGTGGAAATGCTCACCACAATGCCTTTGTCTCAGGAAGCCACATGGGTGGCTTTGGGGAGTGTCTGCCATCTTTCTTTTTTTCCCAGCAGCTAACACCTTTTTGTGAGTAAAACATCTTTGTTTTTGTAAACTTTTGCAATTAATATTGATGTTGATTGATGTTTATGTGTATCTTATTCCACTGCTTTGTACTTCCTGCAAATTCTTACCTCAACTGATAATCTCTGCTTTTGTCCCTCCCTTACCAGACTGGGCAGAGGCTTATAAATTTAATTAATATAATTATAATTTAATCTTAAAACTAGTGCAACTTGATTAATGTTTAGAATCAATGATCTCGGAGGTATTTTCCAACAGTAGAATTCCATGATTCCATGATTCTGTAGGTTTGAGGGGGGGTGGGTTGGTTTGGCTTGGTTTGATCTGTTTTGGTCTGGTCAGGGTTAGCTCAGTTTAGAGCTACTGATATACTGCATAGCTTCCATTTGGCCTGATGGCAATGTCCAGCTGAGTGAACTATTGCACAGTCTACTTTTTCAGTGGGAAAAAAATTGTTTGGGGACAACTCTTTTGATTGTTTATAAGTCAGATATGAATTACCTAGGTTTTAGAAAATAAAATCACTTCCATCAAATGACATAACTACATCACAGAAATTAACAGAATGCATTTTGACAGGTGTTCCATGTTCATCTCTGTAGGTCTTCTGTCCCCTTTTTTCATTTTCTTGACCTTGGGAATGCAACACTCATGAGCTTATGACATTTGAATATTAAACAGATCTTAGATTATGATAGGCAAAATTGGGGAATTATAAAACTTATATAGCTGATTTATCAAAATAATCTGAGGGACAACTTTATTGAGAACAGCCCTGCAGACAAGAACTCGGGAATACTACTGGATGGAAAATTGGACATGACACTCCTGACCTGCATCAAAAGAAGTGTGAGCTGCATAATGGGAGAGATGATTTTGCCCCTTTACTCCATTCTCTTGAGATCCCACGTGAAGTCTGACATCCAGATCTGGGCTCCCCACCACAAGAATGCCATGAACCTGTGCAAGTGAGCCCAGAGAAGGGCCACAAAAATGATCACAAGGCTGTAGCAGCTCTTCTGGGAAGACAGCCTGAGAAAGTTTGGATTGATCAGCCTGAAAAAGTATAGCCTAGGGAGATGTCATTGTATTGTTCCAATAGGCAAGGGGTCTTGGAAAAAAGATGAAGATTCTTTACTAGAACCACCAGAACCACAACACTCTTTACCAGTGGTAAGGCAAGGGATTTAGGTTTAAATTGAGCATAAGAAAGATGTTTTCTATTAGTAGAAAACAGAAATATATAGAACAAATACAGAAATAAAATTATCAATTGCATAGTGAGACACGGAAGCAGGTTGCCCAGAGACATTATGCATATTGCATCATTGAAAGTGTTCTAAGACAGGTTGGAAGGAACTTTGAACAAGTACATCTAGTGCAAAATGCCCATGTTCATGACAGGGGAGTTGAAATTAAATGATCCATGATGACCCTTTTCATCTCAAACCTTTCTATGATTCTAAGTCTTGAAGTATTTTTTAAAATACAGATATAACATTAAATCAAACATTAAATACCTTTTGCAAGTTGTGTCAACAAGAATGTAAGTGCATCTCATTGCACATTTATTTTTTTTAAAATAAATATACTTAAACAGAAAAAGTCGTATCAGATGTAAAATGCAAAAATACAATGCTTTATCCTGACTTTGTTATTTAAATCAATCTTCTCACATCAAAAATACTACAGGAAATTATTACTTTTGAAATAAAATCACACTGAACACGAGATAATCTATTTCTAGTATTATTTTGGAATAACTGATGGCTTAATCTTATTTTTGAAAATTACTATGGGTGGAAATTTCTGAAACCTTTTCCTCAGCTGTTGCGTTTTGAAGAGGTGCAGATGTGAAGAATCTTTGTTCTTGAACATCTTGAAGATCAATCACTGTTAGGTCTATCAGGTACTTCTATAACTGCAAAACAGTGAAATCTTTGAGACAGGAAGAGACAGGAAAAAATATTTTTTACTTGATGAATACATGAAGTCACAAAATAGTCAAAGAATCAATTTTTGCCTGTAGAGTTCTATGTAGCATACAGTTTTTACAAGAGTCAGTATTGCAGTACAGCAGGAGCAGACAACAGTTTACAAAACAATGTGAGACTTTTCATAAACCATTTATAATCTAAATTAGGATACCCAAAAAAGGTTTGCATAAACATTATAAAAATCTCCAAGCCTCCATACTGGGTTGACATAATTTATTGAATTTTGTCTTTATAAGTATGAAAAACAATTTATATATTTCTCTCTGTTTAGGTGGATAGAGCTGGCTGTCACAGAGAAAGTACAAGAGATTGTGATAAGCGTTACCAAGGCAAGGGCATGCACTTCCACAGACATGAATGAGAAGTGGAAATGGCAGGATATCAGGAGGGCCACAAATAGATAAATCTTCAGCTGCAAGATGGGAAGATCTTGGTTGGTGAAGAACAACCTTGGTAGATAGGGTGACAGCATGCTGAGAATAAAGAAGAACATTCTTAAAATATCTTTTGCATTATAAATAAAGCCTGGAGGCTGTTTAATGAATGTCAAACCGAATGTCTCTTCAAAGTGCTAGTTGTGCAGTATTTCCTCTTTGAATCATATGTACATTGAATTTCTGGTCCTTTTCAATGTCCCATGTGTTGGAAGATGAACGCTCAGGAATACTTCCAAAATAATCCTCTAAGCTGAGGGAAAGAAACCCTGGTAGCCAGTATGTATTTTTCTTGCTGATCAAGTAAGTTTTACCGTTGATTTTCTTTCCATCTGTGATGTTCTCTTAACTGCCAATTTACAATGTATGCAAGTATCTTGTGTATTTGCTATAGTTCTTCTTTGAGTATGCTTCTTGGTGGTCCTAAAATATCCTGCAGGAATTTGATACATCTCATTATTTATCAAAATTGCTGTCTTGTCTTATTATGTATGGAATCACACAGTACACTGGTTTATTAGTATTTAGACATAAGCTCCAATTTTCCTTCAAGTTTTGTGTATTCCTGGTGTATGGTAAGTATTTTTTGCAGTTTGTTTTCACTACCACTGCGAAGTTTAATTATTTTACCATAATTTATCACTTTATCAGTACTTTGCCGTACATTGTGAATTGTTCTTTGCTTTGATGGTGTTGAGAAAGTCTAGAATTTTAGAATTAGCTTGTTTTTCATAGTGTTCTGCTCAATGTGCGTTTGTTGTAAACAAGGCTTTAATGTTTTGGTGAAAATGAAAGTTCAACTCATTTATTAAACAAAACAAAAAACACCAACAAAGGCAAGAGCCCAGGTTAAGCCCAAACTCTGCTACACCAATGTCAAATACCTTCCTCCAAACACGAAATTCAGCAGTAACACCCCAAGTGAAGTCCCACTGCCACCTTTATAAACCCCCTCTGTCCAGGATTGGCCCGTTTATGATCCACTCTCTGACTGGCCCATTTCCAGGGCTCTCATTGGTCCTTAGCGAGGTGCACTCCAGACCAATCATTCCTGCAGGGCGTCGAGTGATTGGTTGGCTCTTCCACCAATGGTTGTCTATGATACAGATGTCACTCCTTGGACGTTGTGTTCTGGGCTGTTCTCTGAGTTTTTTTGAATCCTGTATACTGCTGAACAATACCCCGTCAGCCCTGAGCCACCTTGAGCCATCCTTGGTTCCATTTGACTGCACCCACACCGACCGGTCTTCACCCATTTCCCCTATAGAACCATGAAAGCCTGAACTCCCTAATAACAAATACTAACCATTAATTGAAAACATAGATTATGAAATAATAATTAATTTATAATCCAACATTAACTAGTTAATTAACTTGTTACAGCTATTGATCTGCTTATAACGCAATGTCTCACAATTTACCATTTCACTCACATTTTCTGATGAAACTACCAAAATTCTCTGTCATGAAGACTGTCCCACAGATTCCTGAAGAAAAAACCACACAAAAATTCTAAATATGCTGCATGTTAGGTGACAAGAAATCAGGTTGTGTATCTTTTGCATTTTGGCCAGTTGAAGGATTTTCAATGAAATTAGGAGAATCATCAATATCAATTTTGTTTCAAGAGAAATGCTGTGACTGCACTCTTATTTTTTACACAGAGTACATCCAAATGTCATCTCAATAATTTTGCATCTCGCTTTCATGAAGTTTCTTGTTATTTGCCTCAATTATTTCTTTGTCATTCTGAGTAGTCTGAGAAACCAAACTTTTTACAAAATACTGGTTTTGACCATGTTGATATACAGGGATGATGCGTCCTTTCAACATTTTCCAATGTCCATGTTTTACAGTTATTGACAGCTGTAGAATTACCCATGTATTGAAAATTTAAATCCATATAACAACTTTACTTTGATAAACATGATTGGATTAAAATATTTGTGTAACTGCTGCTCTTCTGCCTGAGCAACACATGGCTCAGCTGAAAGTTCTTATATTTGTTCTGGTGTAGTGTAGAACTCTTTAGTGCTGTGACGAGACCATTTTGAACTTTTTTACTCATAATCTAGGTAGTGTCTTTCAGAGGTACTATAATAACAGGTTTGTTTTCTTTCAAAGATATGTAGTACATTGATTCTGGTTAGAAGCCAGGTACCCACCAAAGTCCCTCTTTATCCCTCTCTGCAGCTGTATGGGGAAAGTGTAACAAAAGAGTTCATTTGTTGAGATAATGACCAGGAGAGATCACTCACCAAATAACATCGTGGGCAAAATAAGCTCAAATTAGAGATATGAATGGAATTTATTACTAACAAAATCAGAGCATAATAATGAGAAGTTAAGTAACACCTTCAAAACACCTTACAACCCACCCTCTCTTCTTCCCAGCTCTACCTCCTCCCCAAATTGACAGGAAGACAGTGAATGGGGATTGCTGTCATTTGTTTCTATCACTGTTCTTAGGGGAGTTTTTACCCCATTTCAGTGTGAAAATGAAATGGGGGAACGGAGGCAGTCCTCTGTGGACTTGTCTGACGTGAATTCATCTACTGAGCAGCAGCTCTCAGTGAACAGCTGCAGGATGAGTCCATCCCATGGCAACAGTTCTTCTCAATCTCCTGTAGTGTGGGTCACTCTTCCATGGGGTGCAGTTCAAGGACAGGCGGTTCCAGCATGGGCTCCTCTCTTTCCATAGACCTCAAATGGCCTCACAGCCTCCTCTCAGGCATCTATCCACTCTGGTGTGGGCTCCTCCATGGGCTGTGAGTGGTTCTCTGCATCCCTGCAGTCCTCCATGGGCTGCAGGAGCACAGCTGCTTCACCATGGGCTGCACCACAGGCTGCAGTGGAGTCTCAGCTCAAGCACCTGGAGCACCTCCTGTCTCTCCTCCACTGACCTTGCCTGTAAAGTTGTTCGTCTCACATGTTCTCACTGTGCTCTTCTCTGGATTCAATTACAACTCTGCAATAATTTGGGGTTTTTTATCTTTAATATGCTGTCACAGAGGCATTACCACCATTTCTAAGTGGCCCACCCATGACCAAGACATCCATCTTTGGAGCTGCCAGGATTGGTTCTGTCAGACATGGAGGAAGCTTCCAGTAGCTTCTCACAGAAATCATTCCTGTATCCCCTGCTACCAAAACTTGGCCATGCAAGCCCAGTACAACGGTAATGATGATCTGATCTCTCTCATAAATCCATCCTGGAGATACTGACTGATCTTTCAAGGGGTTTTTTTTGTTTGTTTGTTTGTTTTTTTGGGTTTTTTTTCTGAGCAGAAAATGTAGAAGAGACTGGGGTGTTTTAAAAGAAAGAAGGTCAGCTAAATATGAGAGGTTATTACAGACTCACAGTCTTTTCATTATTTAAATTGTTTGCTTTGCATTTTGAAAGTGCATAAAATTAGTTGTATAGTAGTAAAAGTGCAAGATTACTGTAGTCTCGCTTTTCTGAGAACTAAGTGATCTTTCAAGGACAAATATCAACCCTGGACAGGCTTCAAATCCCAGCTAGCTATTAAGAAGAAATAACATAATGTTTGATCACTTTTTGGTTAAATTGTCTAGACAATTTCTGCCTTTAAAAATGCGTCTTTATGCTAATAATTCAATTCTACATTGTAAAAAGTTTCTGGAAAGATTCTCTGTATGACATTAATGAAGATAAGATTGGGTTTCAAAATTATAGTCATATTAATTATTTCTAATGCGTAAAATATTCATTAGTAGTTAAAGTTCAACTATCAGTTGAGTTAGCTTATAATAAATTTAAATTTAGGGAAATGTAATTAAACAAGAAAAAATTCTTATTATAATTACTATAAAATTGTTAATTGCTACTACATAATATTGTCAATAAACATTAGACTTTAGAAGAGGATTTAGAAGAAACATATTTTCGTTCAGAATAAAAAAGACTTTAAAGTCATGGCAAATGCTTCATCTATACTTTGAAACTACCATGCAACTGATAAGTTTAAAAAATAGGTTTTAAAATAGATGAAGATGTGGCTTTTGTCTTATATGGCACATAAACCCACATCTGTGATGTGGGTTTGTTTGAGTAGGACTATTGGGAAAATTTCTGCATGACTTTGAAATGAAAATGTCCCCAGCTATGTGTGAAGCATTTCAAGGCAGCAACAAAATCTGTATTTTAAGGTGAGTATTTTAATTTGGCTACAATTTTCTAGGTCTGACAGGAAACTGAGGATACTTAGGTATCATTCTTCCAGGTCTGGAGGCTTTAATATGCCAAAGGAGTGCTATACATCCTGATACATCTTATCCATCCCAATTGTTTTCCCCTGATTTTGTTAAAGCTACATAAGGGTGCAAGAAACTAAGAAAAGAGGCTTTTGTTTTTACAACTGCTTGTTTTTACAGCTACAGTTCCTGAAGGTCTAATGCAAAATACTTGGTTTAACTCGTTTGTTTTCTTCCTATACTGATTTGTTTCAACATTAAAACCTTCTCAGCTTTTCTGTAATAATGAAATCACTTTGAGAACAACCAACCCAGTCAATGGGGCAGCAGTGGCAGCAGCAGCAGCAGAGGTGACAGAGTTTAAGTCTGTGAGTGAGCATTAGTTTGCTCAGGGACACCCAAGCAGCAGCCCAGAGCTCTGTTCAGACCTGGAAGCCCTTGTGGGACATTTGAACAACTCCAGGGAGCATGAGCAACCCAGAGTGTGTGTCACAAGGACATGACACAACACTTTGCAAGACAGTTAATGTAAGAGGGGGCAAAAACTCTCCTGACTCCTGACAAAAATACCCCTGGTTCTTGCTTTCTCAGTCAGAAAAGACTGAGTAATGATTTCAACATGGTCAGAAGTCATTGCTTGCAGTAACTTACTGACCTAGGTGGTCCTCCCTAAGAAGAGTGAATATGTCCAAGTCTTCAGTTACAGGGACTGCTTGAACCTGGCATTAATACGGATGGACAGCACAGATGATACCTGCGTGCAGTGTGATTTAAGCAGATGATCTGCTCAGCCATGTAGCTAAACTTGAAGAGGAGACCCTGAGGACTATCAGGGAGTGTGAGAAAGAAATGGACTGCTGGAGTCACACCCTTCAATCCATTAGAGAAATGCAGTGAATAGAAGTTCAGCAAGAATTGGAGAAGCCCCAAGTGTGACTGCCCAATGCACTTTGCCAACTCACATCCAGCCTCTTATCCACCATCATCAAGTCCTTTCTGGCAGGGCAGCTCTTGCTCTTTTCTCTTCCCAGACTGTGTTGATACCAGTGGTTGCCTGAACTCTTGTGCAGCACCTTGCACTTGGCTGCTTATCACTACCGTCTGAATGCAACCATCCAACGACTTCCTTGTCCATCTAAGGATAGTCCACTCATTGAATCTGTCTAATTTAATGTTGTGAGGGATGGTGTCAAAGGCTTTACAGAAGTCCTGTAGATGACAGGATAAATGACAGATACATCTGTAGCCTTTCCCTTGTCCACTGATGGAACCACTCCATCATAGAAGGCCACTGGGTTGATTAGAAAGGACTTTCCCTTGGTGAAGCTGTACTTGCTGACTGTCCTGGATCACTTCACTGTCCTTCTTGTGCCTTAACATAGCTTGTAAGAGGATCTGTCCTATGAACTTCCCAAGCACAGAGGTGAGACTGACAATCTGTTAATTTTCAGGGTCCATCCTATTCTCACATCCCTTATCCTTCTTAAAGATTAGTACAGTATTTCCCTTTATCCAGAGAAAGTCACCTGGGCTTTCAACCTACTGCCATAGCTTTTCAAATAAGGAGAGTGGTGTGGCAGCTACTCAGTCAATACCCTCAGAACACTGGCATGCATCTCATTGGGTCCTGTACTCTTATGCACATTCACGTCCCTCAGGTGGTCACAAACATGATCTTTGTGTGAGAAGTAGCTTTCTCCCCCACTACCCATCTTTCTGTCCATCCACTTGAGAGACATGGGAATAGGTTTCCCTTGAATGCTTGGGTCAAAGTTGTTGAGTATTTTGTCCTTGCTCTCATTAATTGTTATCAGTTTACTGTTGTTATCATGGGGAGAATACCTTTTTTATTTATCTTTTCTGTTTAAGTACCTGTATAAGCCCTTCCTGTTATTCTTTGTGCTCCTTGCCAGGTTCAGTTTCAGCTTCACTTTGGCTTTCCTCTCTCCATCCTTACGTATCCAAACTTTGTCTCTGGCCTTCCTTGTCCATCTTCTTGTTCCTGGTGATTGCTAGGTCTTGCAAGCTATGGAAGACTTCCTTAAAGATCTTCCAATTCCATTTTGCTCCCTTGTACCTGAGGGAAGTCTTCCAGGGAATTCTATTGACTATCTCCCTTAAGAGCTGGGAGTCTGTTTGCCTAGAGTGCAGAGACCTAACTGTTGCCGTCCGTTTATTTTGTTCAGGTTATTAATTTAAATGGTTTGTTCTTGATGTTATTCCCCCCATGAGTTGTAATGGTTTTACCCGCTTGTCAGTTTTGTAA